GAACTGAACCAAGGCAAAGGGAGCACTGTACCTTGCAGGGTGAGCAGTGGGTAGTGCTGTGATTTCAGTTAGAAACCTAGGGTCACAAAATACTGTTCCCACTGTCTAACCCAGGCTGCCAGGTATCAGAAGGCATAGGAAAGGTTCATGCAGCTTCTCACTTGCCTTCCCTGGATGAGCAGGAGATTACATCCCAATTGACTACAGTGCAAGTGCCCCATAGGGTGTTCATTTTTAAACAATCCTGGTGGCACAGAAGCAAATGGCCAAACTCCCACTGATTTGCAAGTAATGGGGCCAGGATGTCAGTGGGTTACTAACTGTACGAGAACTACAGGTAATCCTTACTTAACGTCCTTCCAGTTAACATTGTTTCATTATTATGCTGTGGATCTATTAGAAAACATACTCATTTAATGTTCCACACTGTTTGGTTATAATGTTGTTTGGCTGCCACCTGCTAGTAGTTAACTACTTTGTGACATAACTGGATTCGCTTAACATCATTTTGCTTAAAGTTGCATTTTTCAAGAACTTAACTAGGACATTAAGCAAGGAGTACCTGTACAGGGACACAACTGCCCCAAGCTCTCCATGCCCCTGCAAGATAATCAAAGCTCAGGCTGAGGTCAGGGAGCATCTTGCTGTAGTGGGAGTGAAGGGGCCAAAGAAGATGAAGGCATTTTGGACCAGCAGCATAGTCTTGGCTTGCAGCTAGTTCTTGGGACCACCCAGCCATTTCACTGGCAGGGATGAGTGCTAAGGGGAGTTTATACCTTTGACACAAAAATCAGGGTGTCTGCTCTCAGTTATAAGGCACCAATGCATCAAGGAACTCTACTGCTGTCAATAAGCAGCACTTGTGCACATTTTCTATGCAACCTCTAGGCCAAATTCTCCCCTGAGTGACTCCCCTGTGGCTCCACTGATGATAATGGGGTCACACAAAAGTAGCCGGCTTTCAGATGGTAAAGCTTAAGATACAGAAAGAAATTCCAGGAAATTGCTCAGGGGACATAGTTGCAATCACATAGTCAAAGGGGCAGAGAGGGAAAGTCCTGCTCATGCAGCCTGTAGAGGGGATTTCACAGACAATGCAGAGACCACTGATCGCTAACTCCTGCAGTCACTGCACACAGAGCGGCTGTAGGGATCTTAATGACATCCTGGAGACTTCCAGGAGCAAGTACAACCAAAGAGAAGTGAAGATAGAGTAACTTCCACCCATGCTATGTGCTGAGCACCTGAACCTCCATGGTGCTGGCCACTTCCAGCTCCTGTTGTCTACTATGGGACACACCCACAGCCTTGGAGCAGCTTAAGCTGTGCAGGGTCAGGCTGGGATTGATGTCCCCTGCAGCAAAGGGTACATTGGCCAGCATGCTGCTCTCACTGCTATAAGCTGGAGGGGGATACTCAGGGCTCAACAGATTCAAATTGTGCCCAGTGCAACCCATACCACCATCCTCCCGGCAAAGCAGATAGTTGAGCCGCATGCAGTTGGCTGTGTGGGATTCTGGGGGGTTGTGACAGCTGTGCAGCTCCAGCCTCTGGTATACTCTGCTCTGTGAAGAACAGCCCAGGCCCAGACCACACAAAGCAGGGAGGGTCTGCAGCAAAGTGCATGCGCTCAACTATGCCTTGCTAGTCCTGCTGCTCATCTCTCTGGGGCACAAGCCTATAGCAGCTGCTGGAGTACAGTAAGCTTCACAGCCCCCAGACAGAAGACTGTTGGCTAAACACCAGAATTCACTCCCCTCCTGTCTATGAGCTTCTCAGATGACCTGGAAAGAGTTAGTTTACCTCTGTGTTCACTTCCATGAGGCTGCTAGGAGATCATTGATGGCAAGCAGAGCTGCAGAGGATGTTACAACAAAGCCGGTTAAGTATGTTATAGTAATCATGGGGGCAGAGATGTTCCCCATGGGCTAGTACAGGGGTTTTCAACCTTGTTGGGTCATAGTACCCCCAGCGGCTGGTCAACAAGGCAGGAGTCCCCCAGCAGCCAGACAAGCGGGGGGGGGGGGGGGGGGGGCCCCCCGGG